ATTCTAAATGCGAATATACACTGCCAGGGCAGAAGCTCTGAACAAGAGCTCAAGGACAGCCCTCCACGTATCAAGTCTCCCCAGCACTTCCCTGCTCTGGTGGGAGCTTGGGTGACCGTCCCGGTCAGACAAGCCAGCTGAGGCTGGGCCCGAGGAGGCCCTCCCTGGCGTGCGGCTCTCCAACTGCTTCCCTTGCACCAAGTGCTGGCCCCAGCCCTGTGCCCTGTAACCTCATATATATGCACTGCGATGGGCTGCCCATGGACGTGGTTGAGTCACAGTCCCTGGATGTGTTTAAAAACAACCCTTAACATCCCTTTCTGTAAAGAAGTTTTTCCTGAGATCCAACCTAAACCTCCCCGGCACAACTTGAGGCCACTTCCCCTTGTCTGTCACCACTCCCCTATCCTCCTAAATAAGGTGGAGATGTGGCTGGCCTCATCCTTCTGTAAGGTCTGTGGATGCTGGAGCTGCCTGCAGTCGGGTGGGCTGCGCTCACTTTCCGTCCACGTGGCAAAAATAGTCTCTTGCTCATGAGTTAATTGGCATTCATTAGCAATGACACGCACAGCAATCCCACCAGTCGGTGATCCTTGGCATTTGGGGTTTCCAACTGGTGGGTTGGGCCTGGAGCCCCTCCTGATGGGGACAGGCTGGGAGTACTGGGGCTGAGCACCTGGCAAAGGGAACGCTGAGGGGGGATCTGAGCAGTGCTGATGGATATCTGATGGGCTGGGGCTGCTCAGTGATGCCTGGGGATGGACTGGGGCTGCTCAGTGATGCCTGGGGTTGGACTGGAGGACTCCAGAGGTCCCTTCCAGCCCCCCAGCTCTGGAGTTCTGTGTAGAATAATTCTTAACAAAATATTAAGGTGGATTCCAGTGATTGGATGCAGGGCCCAATAAAACAAGCAAACAAACCAACGTGCAGCTTGCTTATACATGAGTTCTGTATCGGCCTCCATGTTGCCCCTTTTCTCTGTTTTCAATACTTACTCATCTCGCTTGGCTCCTCCCAAGTAAGCTATTCCCCTCCCCGCTTAACTTTTCCCCTTTGCTCCCGGGTTTTGCTGCATTGCAGTGCAGATCGGTGCTGTTTGCTGAGGGCATCGTGTGCTCTGGGGCCATGACTGAGTTTCCTCAGTACTGCTGGCGCTGCTCCATTCCTGTCTCCACAAAGACACCCAGCCCTCCCTCAGACACGCGGAGCCATTCATCCGTCCCACCACTCCCCTTAACCTCCCGGAGAACAGCGCTAAGGGGACAGCTGAGTACCCACACAAGGCAAACTGCCCTCTGAGGCATTCTGTGCACCCTCAGCAGATCTGGGGCACCGCCTTCAGGACAGCACGCAAAACCACAGCAAGGTTTGAGAGCCGCTTCTGGTGCGCGTGACTCCTCGAGGGCCTTAGGAGCAGCTGTTTCCCTTTGGGACAGAGCCTGAAATTCGTGCTGCTGTCATTCACAAACCTGGGTTGCACACTCAACCGTGTGGCTCCGCATCCATCCATACAAGACATAGGGCGCTGCTACGGCAGAAGGCAACCGGGGGTCCCCTCCAGCTCCTGCCCGCACCCCCCCCACGGCGGCACAAACCTCGGAACCAACGGTTCTGTGACAGCAGCGCCGGCGGCGACGAAGCCGGGCGCGATGGGCTGCTGTGCTCCTCCGGGAGCGGTGGTGCTGCTGCCGCCTCTCGTGGTGCTGCTGGGCGCCTGCCGGCCCGGGCACGGCTTCTCCGGCGGCTGCGAGTGAATGGCCCGGCGGTGCCCTGTGGGGAGGGACGGCGGTTCCGATGCAAAAGCTGACGTGCTTCTGCTTGCAGCACCTGCGGGCTCCGGCCCATGGCTGATGGTTGTAAAAATGTGTGGCACAGAAGCCCTGCACGGGTCCGTGGCAGGTGGGCACAGGAATCATCTCTCACGGAGGATCTCTCATCACACCGCAGTGGGTCCTCACGGCAGCGCACTGCTTCGAGCATGCAACGTAAGGGCCATCCCCAATGGACGTCTACCGCAGGTCCACCACCAAGTCTGAGCAAATATCAAGGCGATGAAGACTGGGGACTTGCCTCTGGCGTCCAGCCCAGGCTCACGGACAGGATTCCACCCTGCCGGTTGACCTTGGGGGCCTGCAGGGACAAGTGAGATCAGACACGGGCGAGCAGAGCAGAGCTTCCTCTGCATGTCGGGACCCCTTTCCCCCCGAGCAGTTCAGGTTTTAAGAAGACCGGAGCCGCCCTTAAGCCAGCAGAAGGCTTTCGCCGGCGCTGCTGACGGGAACGGGTGGGGAGCAAGAGCAGGAGCGGCGGCCGCCCCCGGAAGCTCCGCGGGCAGCGTATCCCGACGGCCCGAGTTCCGCCCGACGGCCCGAGTCCCGCCCGACGGCCCGAGTCCCGTCCGCAGCGCCCGGCCGTCGCTCTCCGCACGCCGCTCCCGTCGGCTTCCCAGCGCAGCGTGGTGCCGCCCCGGCGGGGAAGGTGCTGGGAACGGCGGCGGCGGAGCTCTCGGCAAGGGAGCCGAGAAGCAGCCCGACGGCGGAAAGCCTCTGAGTGGAGAGCGAAGAGCCGTGGCGCCGCTCCCGAGCAGAGTGCTGCCGTCGTCTCGTTCGTCATCCGTAACCGCGAGGAAGCCGGAGCTCTGCTTTGAGAGCAATCGGGGCTGCAACGGGAGCGTTCCCCAAGGCCCGGGATGCCTGCGCTGTCCCGAGTGCGGTTCCTGCGATGATCTCTGCCTCTGGGCGGAGTCCCGGTGCGGCAGCCCGTGTCTCAGCCGGTATCACACCGTTCCCTCCAGCAGCAGGAGGTCCGTGGGGACGAAGGGGACAGGAGAGCACCTGGAAGGCCCCAGCTTTCTCCAAAGGGCCCGGGAGTGCACGTGTCTGCAGCAGGGTCCCTAGGTGGACACGTTTGTAACTGAAGCCAGGGAGTTTTGTACCACATCTTACACTGGCAGCCCCAAGGAGATCAGTGTTCTTCCTCTGAGAAAGGAAATTGCCTTGGTTTTACTAACAGCATCAAGACCACATTAAACTGCGCTGGAACAGCTGTACTGTGAAAAAACATTTTCCTTGATACAGGGCCATGGCTGGAGGGGAGGGGGAGTTCCAAAGTGAGTGTGTGGGGGGGGCATGCGGGGACAATGCCCACAGCCAGAGGCAGATGGCTCCAACTGGGTGGGCACAGCTACACTGGGGGAGGCAGATGGCCCTCACCGGGAGGAAACTGGGAGGAATGCAGGGGGACTGGATTCCTAAAATTGGAGGGCACAGCTGAAATGGAGGTGCAGGTGGTCTAAACTGGAAAGCAGAGCTTGATATGGGGGGTGAGGGGGAGGGAGGTAGGTGGCCGAAACTGGGGGGCAAGGTGCAGATGGGGCTCACCTTCATTCAACGCTCAAGCTGGAGGGGATCCACAGGGATCACAGAACGGCAGGGGTTGGAAGGAAGCTCTGGAGATGGAGTCCAACATCCCTGCTAGAGAAGGTTCCCTACAGCATGTCGCACAGCTCGGCATCCAGCATGGTTGGGAATATCTGCACAGAAGGAGATTCCCCCACCTCTCTGGGCAGCTTGTTCCTGTGCTCTGTCACTCTGACAGGAAAGTTATTCCTCATGTTTGTACTGGAACCGATGTTCCAGTTTCCCCTGTTGCCCCTTGTTCTATTGCTGCAAACCAGTGAAGAGAGCCTGCCCCCCTCCCAGCAGTGCAGCACTGCGAGGCTCTGGGAGCCCTGCCACAAGTGCAGGAGTTAATGTGATTTTCTGTGAATTTAGGAATCAGTAAGAGTGCTAAGAACAAGTAATCAAAAAAACCCCAATCCCCCTTTTTAAATGGGGAGAGGCTAGAAAATGAAATGTTAGACTCCGTTCGTGACATCTAAGTTAACAGCAAACCAAAAAGCCCAAACACGTGGTTATGCCAGAGAAATGACTAATATTATTTGGGAAATAAGGACACTACAGAACCTAAAAGAAGTTGGAGCTATTCCACCAGCCACCAAATTCTTCCTTAGATTAAATAGGATGGAGACCTATGCTATTCTGAATCAAAAATCTGTATGACAAAAGGAAGCAAGCAACAGAGGGAACAGATTTATTTTTGAGAAGCTATCCACAAAACCCATCCCCACTAATTGTACTTGTGACAAAACTGTTCTATTACAGCTGTAAGCACCAACCCAGGGCTGTGTGTGTGTCACACCACTAGGCAGTGAATGGGTGATAACGCACACGTTTTACAACTCCCACCTGTGCAGCCTTTAAGTGCCTGTGTTCTCATTGAACACAAACCAAGCCTACCCAGCAAGGCAGATGCAAGCACAGCTTCTGCCACTGCCTGACACTTTTCAGAACAGCGATGCGCCTAGGAGTGATGACCAGGAGAAGGAGCAGCCTGTTAATTCTCCAGTACTGCACACTTCAACCCACAGGAGGCTTATGAACAAGGAGTCACGGTAGCAGGTAACAGGCCCAGAAACAGCTATAGACCTTGCATGCACCCCACCTACTGTAATCTTGGTAACTCCTCAATTTGGGAGTTAACGCTTTAAGATAATCAAAGCGCAGCAAGGGCTGAAAAAAAAAAAAAAAAAAAAAAAAAAAAAAA